TCCAGTGCACCAGTCACGTTCAGGGGCAACAAACCTGGAAGTTAGATGTCTAGTGCCCCTCGTGGCTAAAAGTTACAGTATTGCTTTAATGTGCCTGAGATATATGATTTCATCTTTAATGCAAGAGTTTTTGCTTTTACGTTTTTCCCAGAGCTTTTTTTCCCTTGTCGTCCTCTGTCATTTCTCTAATGAAGCCTCTAGAAACTGAGCAGATTCTCTTTCATTTATTATGTGAGCCACAAATATGTACAGACTGGCTTACTGCCAAGAAAATCTGCTGCTTCAAGCATATTTAATCAATCAATCATACAGTATAATTCACTAGTTGCTTGCAGTATTATTGTAAACAAAAATATATACAAATACCCAAGTTTTATTCAGAACAACAATGCAAAGGAGTTTCTAAACCACTGCTTAATTTATATTAAGCATAACGCTAATCAGAAAGATATCTCCTTTATTTTATGTGAATAAAAAATCAGGACATGCTAACAAATTTATGGGAGCATCAGCATAACATTAACCAGGTAACTGTAGAGTCTTGGCCAAAATATATTACACCTGCAAAAATTGATTAAACATTAAGTTTTTTTTTTATTAATTAGCATCTTGATCTAATATGATTATACAAGAATTAGGCCAGTATGCACAGGCTGAATTTTAGTGGAGCTAATTTATAAAATCCTTCATGAAAAGATGGATGTTGGTACAAATTAAACTGCAATATGTAAGTTCCTATTCTGCAGAATGCAAGGGGGAACACCCTTTATGATTTTCTATAACTGTGACAAGACATGATTATGTTTCACACAAGATCATAACTTCCTTGTATTACGGTCATCTGTGCACATATTTAACACAGGTGACCTTGCAATTATTTTGAAATTATTTTAATCTTCAATAAAGTTCACAGTAACCGTATCTAAATACAAATAGTACCTTTGGGATGTGGTGAAAACACATATTGGGACTGTAGCCAACAAAATCCGTAGACAGTCTGTGGCCATCAGGTTAATATGGATACAGATTGCAGAAAAATTGTTGACTCCATTGTTAAGTGTTTGTCTAGTGCATTTATTTTGCGTCTTCAGTATAAGGTCAGTAAAAATTATCTTAAGTTTTATCAAACCTGATTAATTTCATTCTACAGCCTAAACACATTCTTGATATGTAAATGCATGTCTTCATTGTCCACTGCTTTTATGCCGAGTGTAAATACTCCTTGAAGGGTTTTGAACTGCTCTTTGTCTGGCCCGTTACTCAGAGCTGGTTTGCCTTGGGAGACCTGAACAGGGGTATTTAAGTCCCTGACAATAACTTTTCTGGGATCTTTCGAGCACTAAAACCCCTCCACCATGTTAAGGTGGTGGTTCAAGGAGCTGCTACCTTTTCTAATTTCTGTGTTACAGAAGGGAATGATGGTAAAATAGTTTCACAGATGGCTTTGCCTAGGAGGTCTTCTATGTTGCTCCTGTGCTGCCGACCACCCACTAAGACATAATAGGGGTGGAATGGTTCACAAAATCCACGGTTCGGTTCACGGTTTCGTGGTCATGGTTTTCGGTTCGGTATATGTTGGTTGTTACCCAGAAACCACATAAAAATTAATGAAATTAATGAAAAAATCCCCAAAAATTATAGAATTGCAATTATTTTTAATGATACGTGGAAACCCTGGATCATTTCCGCATGTCTTGCTGCTTTGAATTTAATCATCTCGCGCATGCCCTCTACGACCTCCAAGGAACTCAGCGGAGCGGACGGGAGCCACAGCAGAGGCTGTAGGCTTTGCTCTGTGCAGGCGGTCTGGAGCGCAGCGGTCTGGAGCGCAGCGGGGCGGAGCGCTGACGGAGTATGTGGGATTACGGGGTTAGCATGACATGTTGGTCATGTTGCTGTTAGCATAAACAAAACGTGTAGCACAATGCTTGCACACTGTTGCACTTTTATCCACAACTTTCTTTCCGCCGTCAGCGTAGGTCACTCTAAATGCAAAGTGGTCCCATACAGCAGACCTATAAAGTGCTGCTGGCGCGTCTTCCAACTCCTGTTCTTTCCCACTCGCCATACCCACACAATTCTCCACAACAACCGATTTTTTTCTGCTACGCCCGGCTACGCTGCTTTGCTTCTATGGGAGAATTATCCTGCCATAATGCAAGAGCGCATAATTTCAATTTGAGAAAAGAATTTCATCTTCTTGCACTCAAAACTTATAATGCTCACACTCAAAACATGCGCTCTCTCTAAAATATTTTCTCTTCTCTCTCAAATCTTTGTTTCTTCTCTCAGATTTAATGCTATTTGCACACATCAATCTGCTCCCTAGCTAAAACTCTCTCGTCCCTTCTATGGTGGAAAACCCCCTTTGAGCATATTATTGCCACTTAAAGTGCTGGAATGAGAAAGTCTGTGTTACTCTTTAAATTTAATGTGACCAACATTCTGTGCCTCTGAAAATTGTGTTTCTAGCAGACTGATCATATGAAAAATGCAATTAATACCCCCACCTTATTCAAAAGGGCTAATTGTAGCTT